TCCAACCAGCTTCGTACTTCTGTATTAAAATCTTTCTTAAAAAAAGGACAAAATAATCTCACAAAGTCATAGCAAGATTACATCTTGTGGTTGGTTGGCTTTCCCTCCAAACTTTTCCTATTTGTGTACTTATCCAAATGTCTTTTGAATGTTGTAATTGTAGCCACATCCTCTGGATGTTCATTCCACACACGAACCACTCTTAAAAAAGTTGCCCCTCATGTCTTTTTTAGATCGTTCTCCTCTCACCTTAAAAATATGACCACTAGTCTTGAAATTCCCCATCCTAGCAAAAAGACCTGCCATTCACCTTTCTATATCCTTCATGACTTTTATATAAGCCTCTATAAAAGGTCACCCCTCAATCTCCTATACTCCACTGAAAAAGGTCCTAGCCTATCCATCCTTTCTTTATAACTCAACTCCACCATTCCTGACAACATCCTGGTAAATCTTTTCTGAACTCTTGGCAGCTTAATAATATCCTTCCTACAACAGGGTAACCATAATTGGACACAGTACTCCAGAAGAGGCCTCTATGTCCTGTACAACCTCAAAATGATGCCCCAACTCCAATACTCAAAAGTTCTGAGCAATGAAGGCAAGTATACTAAATGTCTTCTTAACCATCTTGCCTACATGTGATCCAGATGTCAAAGAATCATGTACCTGAACCCCTAGGTCTCTGTTTTACAATACTACCCAAGGCCCTACCTTTAATTTGCAAGTACTGCTCTTGTGCGCTACTGCATTTTAGTAAGACAAACATTTATCCAAATTAAACTTCACTTGCCATTTATCAGTCCATTGACCCAATTGATCAAGATCTCTTTGTAATCTTAGATAATCTTCTTTACTGTCCACCATGTACCAATTTTAGTGCCTTTTTTGCAATCCCACTGCCACTGCCACATCGTGCAAGTCCCCAGAATGCCTGCTAGAATCCCCATACCAACTATTTTCTCCTTCATGAGGCAGCATTGGACACACCCCCCACCCCAACGAGATGAACAGAATTGAACAAGCCGGAACAGTGGTTTCCAATAGTTTTATTTTATGTACAGAAGTTGCTGTTAAATGAGTAAAATCTAATCCCGAGCCATAAGCTTCTGCTTCTTCAGCTTCTTCTGGGAAACCTAAAAAAAAAGACAGACAAAATTAATAAGAAATTTCTTATACTCCTACGGAGAAATTAATACATCACTCAAAACAACTTAACACAAGGACTTGAGTAACTCCAACTACAGGCTGATAGCTGAAAACTGCTCATTTACTCCAAAGCAGCCCATTTTAGGTTGCACACTCCAAGAGAGTAGGAAATGGTGCTGAATGCAGTTGCTCAGTTTACAGTTATTTTTCATGGTTAATATCCAAAGGTGTCCTAAGATGATCATCACTGCAACCACATATTTCAGCAACCATTTCATGGTACATAAAAAGCTTCTCCACAAATTTATTGTTCATTTGTTTCAGATTTCCAGCACGAGTCCATTGTTTTATATTATGAAGCATATCAGCCTTGTACTTAAATGCAAATCATTTGAATTTGGACAATGAAAAACATGGAGCAGGAGTATGCACTTCAACTCTGAGCCTGCTCCAATATTTGATACGATCATATTTGATCTCACCCTGGTCTCAACTCCACTTTCCTGCCTGCTCTCCATGACCCTTCAACCCATTACTAATTTTAAAAAATCTATCTGCTCCTCACAAGTTACTGAATGTCCCAGCATCCAATGTACTGTGGGGTAGTGAATTCCCCCAGATTCACAACTCAAAAGTAATTTCTGATCTGTTTTACATCTATTATCCCTTATCCTAAAACTGTGCCCTCTCATTCTAGATTTCCCCACATAAGGAAACATCCTCCCTACATCCACTCTGTCACACCCTTTTAGCATCTTATATGCTTCAATTGTATGCCCTCTCCTCCTAGCATAGGCCTAAACCACTCAACCTATAAAACACCATCTTGAATCAATCCAGTGAATCGCCTCTAAACCGCCTCCAATACAACTACACCCCTCCTCAATGAAAGGGACCAAAATTGTATTCAAGACTTCAGGTGCAGTCTCATTAAGGCCTTGATACAGGTACAGCAACACTTCTCTACTTGTACTCTATTCCTTTAGGAATTAATGCCAAAACTCCGTTTGTTTTTCTTATTTCCTGCTGCACCTGTATACTAGCATGCCAAGATTCATTCAGTGACACCCAGATCCTTATATACTCAACCACTCCAAACATTTTCTCCATTCAGATAAGTTACCTTTCTATTCCTCTGACCAAAATCGCTAACCTCTCACATAATATCTTTTCCACATACAAGTCTTAATACAGATTGTAAACAGTTGGGGCCTCAAGGACCAAACCCTGTTACACTCCACTAGTTACACCTCACTAACCAGTAGAAGACCCAATTACCACACTCTGCTTTCTGTTGGTTAGCCAATCCTCTAAGAGTATAAATTACCCCAACCCCATAAGAATTTATGATGCAACTTATCAAACATTTTCTAGAAATCCAGACATGCCACATCGACAGAATTCCCGTTATCCACGAGTCTCATTACATCCTCAAATAACTCTACCAAATTAGTCAAACATAATTTACTCTTCATATAACCAAAGACTCGGATGGGATTGTATTTGGACCTCCCAACGAGATTTGTTATACTAACAGGATTGTAGTTTCTGACTTTCCAGCTCAGATCCAATAGCAATCAGATTCCCTACACTGTGGAAACAAGCCATTCAGTCCAATAAGTCCACACCGACTTTCCGAACAGCATCCCACCCTATCCCTGCATTTCCCATGGCTAATCCACCTAACCTATACACCCCTGGACACTATGGGCAATTTAGCACGGCCAATCCACCTAACCCACACATCTTTCGACTGTGGTTAAGAAACTGGAGAACCCAGAGGAAAACCATGCAGACACAGGGAGAATGTGCAAACTCCACACAGACAGTCGCCTGTGGCTGGAATTGAACCAGGGTCCCTGGTGCTGTAAGGCAGCAGTGCTAACCACTGAACCAACGTGCTGTATCTAAAGAAATTAAAAATTATCAAGAGTTTATAATCAGACTTGGCAAGCAGTAACTCAATGAGAAGAGGCCAAATGACTTATCATTCTTTCCATTATGTATGTAATCCTTGAATCATAAGCAAATATACTCAATTCCTTGTTTTATCCACTAAAGCAATTTTGAGGATCTTTATGCTGGATTCTGAGTTTTGCCATTCACTGGTTAAGAAGCAAATAACTACATCAAGACTTGGAGTTAAAACAAAATCTGCACCCATGTTGAAACCAACTTTGCTGAGAAAAAGAAACAGAAAACATTGGAAGGATTCAGCAGGTCAGGTAGCGTCGGTGTGGGGAAACCAAAATAAATTTTGTTTCAGGTCAATTCTGATAGAGTCATCAAGCTCACACACTAAACTCTGTTTCAGTTCAAGACTTGCCCTAACTGAGTATTTCCAGCATCGTCTGTTTTGCTGCTACTGTAACTTTGGGGCACATGCACTGGCCCCAGTACCACAGATAGCTGCCAGCAAGCAATTAAGAATATTAGAAGGATTTAATTTACAAATGCTTTAAATCAATTTAGGGGATATATAGGCCACTTCCGACATTGGGTACCAAAACCTCGCTGCCCTGCTCCATTTCAGTTTACCGTCCCTTGATCAAGAGGACAGACTAAGCAACCAAGGACGTAGAAAAAAAGGTAGTGCACTTTTACTCCGGTGCTAAAGTCACCGCGTGTTCCTCAGACATACAAATGTCAGTGGCATCATATACAAGGACAGAGCAGATGCCAACTTCTGGTTTCAGAGACACATTGATGATTTGCTTTATTATAATTTCAGACTTCCAGCTTCTTCAGCAATTTGGTTTTGTAGCTTGACGATGTGAATCAAGAGGATATAAAGTGTGCAAAGATCTAAAAGATCACAAGCTATTAGATATCTCCCCTCAATTCAGGAGAAAACAAGAGATCACCTTTTTCTTCTGAACAACTTCCTCCTCTGGTTTTGGAACAATCTGCTCCTTCTCAGTGAGGATCATTTCTATGTGGCATGGTGAGCTCATGTATGGGTTGATACGACCATGGGCACGGTAAGTCCGCCGGCGCATCTTAGGCGCCTTGTTCACTTGGATGTGCTCAATCACTAGAGAATCCACATCCAGACCCTAAAAAGAAACAAGTAATACTGTGAATAAATCACTATTTACATCCACACCCACTGTACTCACTGCAGTGGTCAAATTTCAATTCTGTAAACATCTAGTCTAATCACTTAATTGACTCACTTGTTATTCAATCAACAATAGTATATACAGTAACACAAATAGAAAGTGGAGAAACTCAGCAGGTCTGGCAGCATCTGTAAAGAGAAGCAGAATTAACATTGAGCCAAGTGACTACATATCTATCCCATTTTTACAACAATATTTCACATATTTCACTGCAAAATATGGCAGCACATCAGGCACTTTTTAAGAGTGTGCTAGGTTGAAAAAACACCATTTGACCAGCCACATTTAAAGTTAAACAAGTAATGATGCTATTAAAAGGTCATATAAAATTGTTAGAAAAAAATGTAATAGCCCATTTCATAGGGAATGTAGTGTTATTTCGACATGTTTCAGTGGCAGCACAAGATAGTAATTTCCTCACATTGATAGACTCTAAACAGTCGCACAATTGACATGAACTAAACTCTCACTTTGCCAACTGCGGTTATATTTTTGGCATAAATATGACTTTTTAAATCAGTTGACCTAATGCAGAAGTCGAAATACAACTACTTGCTCATTTCATCCTGACTACATGCATTAACGTCACCAGGTACCCCTTCCACAAATATATCATGGCTGCTGCAGTTATACTATCCACAGAACGACAGGCACAGGCCTATTTATCAGCACATTACACCAGTGACAGTGAGTTTTAAAATAATTATTCAAGGCAGAAATAAAGTTATGGTCACTCAGCATAGTACATCATTGTTTTCATGTATAATCCAAAGGTGTCCTAAGATTGTCATCATCGTAACCACATGTATTTTAAAACTATTTCAATGCAATATAGAAAAAAAGAATTTCCAAGTTACATATCAAAATCAATTAATAACCTAGCTGAAAGTTTAGTCTTCAGTTACTGTAAAAGCCACACTAAATATTCAGAACTTTCCTAAAGTACAGCACACACCTGACATGACAGTATGCATTTTAATGCAAGATACCCCCATCAGCCAATGCAATAGCACAGGAATGAGCTAAAATGGAGCCCAATACATTTTGCAAGCAAAGGAATATACATGGCTGAAGTCAGCACGATGGGATTTTTGTGAAATAAACTACAATGTCCACGAATGGAAGATACATTTTGTTAGACACAAACCTCCTCCCAGTGTGAAGCACAAGGAGCACCTAAGAACCCAGGGGCTGGAGTAGACTGACCCCATGGAAAGCAGCTTTCCTTAAAAGCAATGCAAATTGGTATGCAGCAGCACAGGTGCAGTCACCACACAAACTCCAAAATATTCAAAATCTCCCCTCCCCCTACCGCATCCCAAAACCAGCCCAGCTCGTCCCCGCCTCCCTAACCTGTTCTTCCTCCCACCTATCCCCTCCCTAACTCCCCACCTACACTCACCTTTACTGGCTCCATCCCCGCCTCCTCGACCTGTCTGTTTCCTCCCCACCTATCTTCTCCTCTATCCATCTTCTATCCGCCTCCCCCTCTCCTTATTTATTTCAGAACGCCCTTCCCCTCCCCCATTTCTGATGAAGGGTCTAGGCCCGAAACGTCAGCCTTTCTGCTCCTATGATGCTGCTTGGCCTGCTGTGTTCATCCAGCTCTGCACCTTGTTGTCTCGGATTCTCCAGCATCTGCAGTTCCTACTATCTCTGATTCAATAAAAAGTATACTTCCTCTCAAAGCTCCACTCATGAGTGTATCTTAAACATATATTTGCACACACTTACCTTGAGTTCAGCATTGCTCTCTGCATTTTTTAGCATGTGCAGCAAAAACTCTGCGCTCTTTTTAGGCCAACGACCTTGTGTCCATCGCCAGGCCTTAGCCTTCATATAAAAAAACACAACAGCAATCAATTCCACAATATACCTGAAGTAGACAAAAATGAAACATCTGCCTTTCACGAATAAATGGATATCAAGTCACAGCCTTGAATCACTATTCAATGTTTCTCAACCTAGAAGTCAGCAATAACTTTTAACAGAAAACGTAAGCACAGACTCCATTTGCAGGTCTGGCTTCAGAAGCTCACTTGGCATGTGACTTTTGTTTGTGAAGGGTTGATATTTCTATAAAGCCCAAAATGTGGAAGCTCAGAACATCATAATTGTTTTCATGACTACTCCAAAGGTGTCCTAAGATGGTCATCATTGCAAACCCAACATTCTGGGAAGTCAGAAGCGCAAAGCATTAAAAACAGAAAACTGTTGATGCTGGAAATCAGAAACAAAAATTGTTGGAGGAAACTCAGCAGGTCTGGCAGCTGAGAAAACAGAGTTAATGGTTGCGTCCATACGGATGAAGAGTCATCAGTTTTGAAATATTAACCATTTTCTCCCCACAGATATTGGCAGATTTGTTGAGTCTCTCCAGCAATTTCTGTTTTGTTTCAGAAACACAAAAAAAAAATCACAACATAGAGATTGATTTGCTCTTCTAATAGTAGTGCAATTTTCACTTTAAGCTGACAAACCAAACTTGCTGAAAATTACACCAGAGTGTCTCTATATAGAGACAGACATAATCAGTGCAAGAGAAGTTAGGAAAATTTATGTTCAAACCAGCAAGTTTCTTCAAAAGCTGGCTTTAAACGAAATAGATGGCTTATTGTGCATTTCATCCTCCTGAACATTTGACTCACTTTCTTAAACTTTTAACTCACTTGAGCACACCTGCCAACTCCACCATTGTAGCGTCGGAAAGGGACACACTGCCTCTTGATCACAACATCCTTCAGGAACTTTGTCGCCTTGCGGATATGCATGCCTTTGATCGTCTGGGCAGTCTCACGAGTATTCTAGGAACAGAATATCTTGGGCTACAGATCAACCAACTCTCTCCGTGTCATGATTTATCGGTATTTGGTCACTCAAGACAGTATTACTTCGTGGACATTACAGAAATGCATCAAGATAGTAATCACTAAGATCTTTCTGGGGATTTTAACACAGTAACCATTCTCTTCCCAGCAGATGAAACAACCATGCATAGTCAATATTTCTACTCCTGTGTTGACTGCTCTACTCAGCTGCCAAAAGGACACAAGTCAATTGCATAATGTACAGGAGACCAGACTGAGCATAGATAAATGGTCTCAATTTTTGAATGGAACAAAAAAAATCAGTAAATTAGAGGTGGCATAGCTTTATTTTCTATCGGACGAGTGTTGCTGGGAAGCTCAGCATTTGTTCAGAAAGGAGCAAAAGACTTGCTACTGTGTAATGGGGCATTGTAAATACTGTGTGCGTTTCTAATTCTAGGATGCGATCGATCCCATTGCCCATCAGAGACGGGGACAACTACAGAGAGTGCAGCAGAGATTCAGCAGCTAGTTCCGGGGAGGTGCAGCCACCCTATTAGACAGAACTAAGGAAACTGTGCCTGTATTCTCCAGTGTTTAGATGGATGAGTGTTGATTTCAAAGGACTTAAGATTTTTTAAGGGGACAGACAGTAGACACCAAAAATAGACATTGTAGAGTTCACAACCAGAAACCACATTCCTAGAATAAAAGGCAAACCATTCAGGGCTGAGATGTGGAACAACATCTTTATTCAGTGTGGTGAATCTTTTGCAATTCTCCAACCTAAAAGGCTGAGATTGATCGATTTTAAGTTAATGACATCAAGGATATGGGAATAGCATACCGATATAACAATCATGATCTAGAATGACAGTAGCTTGAATCACCAACTTCTGCTCCCATTTGACCTCGCAAACAAGGCAGTGAGGGGAAAGAACGGAGATTGCCCAGCTTTCCAAGTTTTAACCATATCAGTGAACCTGCTAGCTTTAATGTTAGCCCATAAACTATTAGATAAGTAAAATTCAATCTTACTCGACATGAACTCTAGGCTAGCAGAGCAGTAAATGAAAAATTTCTCAAAGAGTTTGCCTGACCCCAAGGGCCCCACAAAATTTTCAGGCAATATTAAACCCAAGGCAATAATAGGACAGAAAGGCAAAAATCTGATCAAAGTTTTTAGCAGTGCCTTTCAACAAAAATAAGGGATAAGTGGGTGGCTTGGAGAATCTTTGGAGCTAACTGTACAACTACCAACAGCAGAACTTTCCAACCAATGATTCTCAAGTAGCTATAAGGTACTGTAGACATAGAGATCGGAGTGGCCACGGGGGGTGGGGTTTGAAATCAAGGATGAGAACTTTCAATTAACCAGACAAGATAATGAAGCCCTGAATTATAAGGAGAACATTTTGATTTTAAATGCAATGCAACTACAAAATAAGCTGCAAATGTTCTCTCATTTGCATGCTGATATTTTTCCCTTAAACCTTATGAGCCAGAATTTCAGAGTAGTACTTAAGACTTACCTTGAAGTGTACTCGCAAGTTCGAGCCCCGTGCCTTGCATGCTGCAGAATAAAAGAGGGAGGTAAATCACTTAAGTTACAAGCAGAATAAAAGACAAGACATACAACAGAAGTAAACTACTTACATTTGGTGGGGTTCTCTGGGTCTAATGAATAGCGGACCATTTTCACAGAACTAGGAAGAAAAATAAAGCAGATTCAAATTCACTTAATCAAGTTAGACATTTAAATTATACACGATTGAAAGGAGTACTGCCCATGGAATTACTAACAGGAAATGGCATTGCCAATTCAGTAAAGGCCAACACGTGGAAGCTCAGAAAATGAAGTACTTTCATGATTAGTCCAAAGGTGTCCTAAGAAAGTCATCACTGCAACCACACTACACAATCCAGCAAGGTAAAAGTTAAAAACACATTTCATTGACGGAACACTCTCCACGGCCTAACACACGAGATAGACAGAAATCAGAGAACACTCAAATAGGACGAGCGCCTATTTAAACCATGATTATAAGCCAGGTTGTCGCAGTTCTTCCAACACAAACGCTGTGCCAATATTCTGGTTCAAGAGGCCACAGGCCCCCCGACTGTGGTCGGACCCGTGTGGGTTTAAAGCAGAAACCGGTCACCCCCAGCCCTGCTGCTTCCAAGGCTTATAGGAATGGCCCAGAAAAATATAAACTCGGAAGCATTAACACGAAGTGAACTCAAAGCAAAATATAAAATCTCCTGACATGAAGGTTTTTCACCGCGACTCCGTCCAGGCAGCCATTTTGTTGCGCGCTCGGGCTCTAGTTTTTTTAAACCAGCTCCATCTTTTACATTAAAAACGGATTCAAGTGATAATATCGTGCGGACACAGTTGTTTATCAATCTGTGTAACCATTATCAGTGGACATATAGAATGTGCGATTCGGATGTCTGAGATTAGCAGCGATTTGTTTACTGCCTTTCTCGCAGATCTCTCCTGCTTTACCTCTCACCTCCAACCGCCGGCAGGAAAAGAGAGAACCAGAGGCTCACGGGAACCCAAATCACAGAGTTCATATCGCGAGATTTCCCGCGTCACTACTCGTGAGATAGGACAGTGCGGAAGAGGCTCTTCAGTCCGTCATAGCTCTGTCTGTTATCAAACATCCGACACTTTGGAAACCACACAACAGACTTTGCTGTAAAAGATCTATGACGCAACCGACAGTCCCGTGTGCTATTTCGTTCAAATGTTCACCTAAATATTGCTTAAATGTTTTGAGAATTCCTGCCTCTACTACATTTTAAAACAATTATTTTCTGGTTTTAAAAGAAATCCTCAAATCCCCTCTAAAACTCCTCTTGCTCCCTGTCTTAAAAATTGTGCCTCTGATCATTGACCCCTCTACTAAGGGGAAACGGTTTCTCCTCATCTATCTATATCCTATTTACCCTCTCTGCCATTCATACCTCAACCAACGTCCCCCACCCCCAGCCTTCTCTGCTCTAAGGAAAACAACCCCAGCATATCTAGTCCCGTAGCTGATTCACTCCAGTCCAGGTAACATCCTGGTGAATCTCTTCTACACCATGTCTAGTGCAATCACATCCTTCCCATAATGTGGCAATCAGAACTGCAAGGCTGTACTCCAGCTGTGGCTCAACTAATGAAAAATACAGCTAAATCATAATCTGCTTGCTCTTGTGTTCGATGATTTGACTAATAAAGGCAAGTATCATATTTGCCTTGTTATTTATCTTGTCTATCTGACCTGCTGATTCAAGGTCTTTTCTTCAGCATAGGGGAGTCCAAAACTAGAGGGCATAGGTTTGAGGTGAGAGGGGAAAGATTTAAAAGGGACCTAAGAGGTAAGTTTTTAATGCAGAGGGTGGTGTATATATGGAATGAGCTGCCAGAGGAAGTGGTGTATCTGGTAGAATAACAACATTTAAAAGGGATCTGGATGGGTATTTGCATAGGAAGGGTTTAGAAGGATATGGGCCAAATGCTGGCAAATGGGACTAGATCAATTTAGCATATCTGGTCAGCATGGACGGGTTGGACTGAAGGTTCTGTTTGCATACTGTAGAACCCTATGACCCTGTAACAGCTTTCCTATAGAAGCAGGGAGACCAGAATTGAACACAGTATTCCAAACAGCCCTCACCAATGTTCTGTACATGACATTCCCAACTCCGAAACTTAATGTACTGACCAATAAAGGCAAGTGTACCAAACACCTTCTTCACTACCCTGTCTACCTGTGACTTTATGTTCCAGGAACTGTGAACCTGCATCCCAAGGTCTCTTTGTTTGTGAACAGTCCCCAGGACCCTAGCATTAAGTGTATAAGTCCTGCCCTGATTTGCCTTTACAAAATGCCAAATCTAAATTAAACTCTATCTGCCACTTCTCAGCCCATCAGCTCATTTGATCAAGCTCCTGTTGTACTCTGAGATAACCTTCTTGGCTGTCTACGACACCATCAATTTTGGTGTCATTTACAAACTTACTAACCATTCCTCCTGTATTCACATCCAAATCATTTATACAAATGACAAAAAGCAGTGGATCCAGCACCGATCCTTGCGGCACACCACTGGTCACAGTCCGAGAAACAACACTCCATCACCACCCTCTGTCTCTTACCTTCAAATCAATTTTGTATCTAAATGGCTAGCTTTCCCTGGATTCCATGTGATCTAACCTTGCTAAACAGTATACCATGCAGAACCTTGTTGAATGCCTAGCTGAAGTCCACATAGACAACACCACTCTGCCTTCATCAATTGTATTAGTCACTTTTTCAAAAAAACTCAAATAGGGCTCACCGATCTATAGCTCTCTGGATATTCCTTACCACCTTTCTTAAATAATGGCACCACATTAGCCACCCTCCAGTCTTCCAACACCTCACCTTGGCTGTTGATGATACAAGTATCCCAGCAAGGGGCCCAGCAATCACTTCCCTAGCATCCCACAAACTTCTGGGATACACCTGATCAGGTCCCAGGATTGATCCACCTTTATGCATTTTAGGATGTCCAGCACCTCCTTTGTAATATGGTCTCTTTTCAAGACATCACTATTTATTTCTCCAAGTTCTCTAGCTTTCATATCCTTCTCCACAGTAAATACTGATATGAAATACTCGTTTAGTATCTCACCATGTCCTGCGCTTCCACATAATAATGGCCTTGTTGATCTTTCCTGTTTACTGCTTCATCTCCATCTCTTTTTATCTTGAAGTAGACACTCCTGGGGTTAGACTGGTCTCCTCAATAAATAAAGAAACAAAGGTCATAGAACTGAAATTATAAAGACCTTAACCCCAAAAACCAAAGAAAATAACCTTAAATATAATATCATTAATAGTATTCACTGTGCCTTCCAGCCACTTTTAGGTCCCACTGGTTGCAGAAGGGCTCAAGACTATTGGCAGGCAACATCTGTTTCCCCTCTTGGGGCATTGGATACAGACACAACTACAGAGGAGAGTTAGGCAGCTAGAGCGACCACCCACACTGGCCTTCTTCATAAACTAACAAGGTACTAAAGTGCTAGCACCATTTTGTGTAATTTAAGATGCAAAGTTTCTTTAATAATTTAAAATAAATTCTTTCTGGGCCTCAGACTGAAAAATTCATACTGCAACAGATTGCTAGAAATAAAAAGGCCAAGTCAATAAATTTTCCTCAACCATCCTGTAATTACATGATTTTGTGGAAACTGGATTGATGAAGGATGATGAGATTCAAACCTGTCAATTAGTCTACAACTGAACCAAACATGATCCAAAAAAAGTGATGGAGAGTTTTAGAAACTACAGGTCCAACATCACCTGTTCCTTCATTGCATGTAGATATTTTAAAATCAACCCATTCAGAGATATTATTACACAGCTCAGGAGCAGGTGGGACTTAAAACCCTGGACTTCTTGGCTCACAGGTAGAAATACTACCACTGCCCCACAAGCGCCATACTACCTAAGCCTAATCATCTTCAGTTGCTTCATCAATAACATGCCCTCTGTTATAAGGTTAGAAGTTCAGAACTTTGCTGATGATAGCATTGCTCAACCCTATTGTTAAAGTCTCAGATACAGAAGCAGACCAAGCCCTTATGCAGCAAACCCTGGACAACCTTCAGGCTTAGGCTAATAAGTAGCTAATAACATACCTGACACACAAGTGCTAGTTAGTGATCGCCTGTAGCGAGAGAGAATCTGACTATCTCCTCTTGATAGTCAATGACATCACCATTTTAGAATCCCTCAATTATAAATATCCTGGGAGTTACCATTGTCCAGAAACTGAGTTGGACTAGCCAAATAGCTGTTGTGGTATGTTGTATGCTGGGGATTCTATGCCAGTAACTCATCTCCTGTCTCCTCAAAGCCTATCACAAGGCACATGTCAGGAGTGAGAGGAATATTCCCTTGTTGTCTGATGAGTGCAGTTCTATTACTTTTCTCAGAGTGTGGTGAATCTGTCGAATTCTTTAGCACAGGGGGCTGACGAGGCTGGGTTATTAAATCTTTCAAGGTTGAGATAGCATATCAGCAAGAGAATCAGAGGTTATGGAGGGAAGGCAGGAAAGCGAAATTGATGATTATCATTGAATGGTGGAGCAGAATCAACGGGCTGAATGTGTCTCTTTAGCTCCTACGCCTTCTGGTCTTATGACTCTAACAACACTGGGGAAGGTCAACACAATCAAGACCAAAAGAGGCACACTTGTTTGGCACTTCAAACCATGTTAAACATTCACTCCTGGCACTTCAAACCATGTTAAACATTCACTCCTTCCATCACCAACACACAGTGGCAACAATGTGTATCATAGATGAGATACAGAGTAGCTAAATAGCAAGACTCCTTCACCTCTTCTAAACCTGTGTTGTGTCAGTTATTATAAGCTACCTTTAATTTGGCTACTTACTAAGAAATCTCACAGACAATCAAATACTGAAACAAGGGACTAGGTCAGAATGAGATGAGTGGTCAGCACGGATGAGTTGGACCGAAGGGTCTGTTTCTGTGCTGTATGTCTCCATGGCTCTAAGTACTTAAACTTTATTGCAAGTAGCAACCAAAATAAGACCCCCCAAATAAGAAAGTTAAGCCTCACATCCCAACTTGTCTATTACCGGATTAATGATGGAATTTAGCTACAATTCTAGCCAACAGTGTCTGTCTCTGGATGTCTAGGGTTTGATCCTAATGTAGTTCTGTTCTCCAGAGTTCTACTACTGAAGAATCCTGGAGTTGAATTCTTATAGTATTTGCTGTTCTTCAAGTTTGTGGTTTGACATTATTGATGACAATTCTGAAGTCACCAAGCCTGTAGCTTACTTTCTCATCAGGAGCAGTTTCTCTGTTTCTTGATACATTCGGTGTTAGCT